CCTTGTGGGAGTCTCTTCTTCCGGCTCGTGCAGAGTGCGCTGAACCCTTCAGGGCTCGTCCCTCGTGTGCTGAACTCTCGTGGGGATCTGTGTTCCGGAGTCATGACAGTTGGCCTGGTTGCGGAGAGGGAGGGATGAGGAGGAGAGGGAAGGAGGGAGGAGGATTGACACCGTCGTCGTCGTCAAGATCTTTGCCGCCGCCGTCGTCGTCGTCGTCGCCTCCCTGCGGGGGTGGCGCGGTCTTGCAGTGATTCAGGAAGCAGAAGGTCCTCGCCGTCGCCGTCGCCGTCGTCGCCCCCCCCCCATCCCACCAGGGGGGGGGGCTGGGGCTCGCGGGGCCCTGGCCCGTCCCATCTGGGGGCCCCGGGCCGGAGGCCAGGGGATCATGCGTCCCGAGGCAAGTGTGGTGGTGCTGGGGCTCCCGGCCTCGTCCCCAGGAATTTCGGACAGGAAGAAACGTGCCGCTCGGGGTGAACAGTTGGTCCCTGGGGAAGCCCCATCTGATGGGCCTGTTCTCCACCACCACCACCACCATAAGTTGGAGGGGGGAAGGAGGTGGAGGACGAGGAGGAGGAGGAGGAGGACGAGGAGGAGAAGGAGGAGGTGGTGGAGGAGGAGAAGGAGGAGGAGGAGGAGGCGGAGGAGGAGGAGGACCCCCTCCCCCTCCAACTTATGGTGGTGGCGGTGGAAAACAAGCCCATCACCATCTTCCCTGCTGTCAGGACGCATTTCCCTGCTGTTGTTGCGCAGTTGGTTGAAGTCGGGCACGTCCCTCTACAGGAGGAGTGCTCAAGAACAGTAAAGCATAGCACTGTTACGTTGGTTCGTCCTCTCTTGATAGTTTGTGGAGTATGGTTGGACTACTTTCTATGCCTCTTCCAGAATGCGCCTGCAGGAGGACGCGTCTGACCGAACCGTCGGTGGCTGCGCTCCATGATGCTCCGGACTGCGGAGTTGAGGGGGTGGCAGAGGGCGAAGGCTCGAGGGAAGGCAGCCCAGACCCTCTGACGATGCGTGTCTGGTCCGTCCCCTCCCGTCCCTCCCCCCTCCCCCTTCCCCCGCGCTTGTCGTGCGTCATGGCGCCAACATCCAAGAGCGGAGCGGAAAACGATAGGATGGGCCCGGAGTGTCCTGGAGAATTTCGTTCTGGATTTCGAGGTGAATTTCGGGCGGATTTTGTTTTTCGGCCAAGAACGAAGACTAAAACAAATCCACGGGAAATTCACTTCGTTTTTCACTCGCCGTTTCGGGGTCTCGCATGGACAGAAATCCGTGCAAAAGTCCTCTGCAGCACGTCTGCAAGGGTGGCGCGCCGATTCGTCCGTCGTCCGTCGTTTTCGTCGTCGGGTCGTATCGCCCCTCTGCACTCTGTCACTGGGCTCCCCTCCGCTGGTAAGAAAAAACTGCCTGTTCCGTCCGCGCCCCTGGGGCCTCGACCACTCCCCGTGGGGCAGCATATGTCGTCCCGGTTTCGTTTCCGATGTCGGCGGCGCGCCCGGGGGGGGGAAAGCGACGAGGGACGGTCGGGGCTCAAGAGACGGGGGGTCAGTGCACGCAAACGGGGGCCAGCCAGACCTCCCGATCTTGCAGGATCCTGCAGAGGCCAGGGTCGCACTGACACGGGCTTGGGCGCAGGATCCTGTGGGACCTTGCAGGATATCCTTCGGTGCAGGGACCGTTGGCCTGGGCTTGGGTGCAGGATCCTGCAGGGTCCTGCAAGGCCCGTCCGACCCGGGTCTGGATTGACCGGGGTCAGCAGATCCCCGAGGCGGGCCTTCTCAGAAGGCTCGGAGGTCCCCAAGCCTTCTGAGGAGTTTCCTAAGCCTTCCCCGAGGACGCAAACAAAAAGCCTCTCGGGAAACGCGGGGGTTTCTGACAAGCCCCGCCGCCTTCTGAGAAGGCCTTCTCCTTCTCATGTCCCCCCCCCCCCTCTCGGGAGGCGCGATGGCTTCTGAGAAGTCCCGCCGCCTTCTGATAGGGCCTTCTCCTGCGCATTTCCCCCCCCCCCCCCCCTCGCTCGCCGCCAGTGATGGTCCTGGGGCCCGATGACGGGCCCCAGACGCCGAAGTACACAGGAGAAGCGCTCGGATCGGAAAGAGATCGGGTCCTCGGAGATCTCGGAGGCCCGACGGATCCTGACCCCTAACAGGACCCCCAGAGGCACCACAGGGGCGGGGTCTGAGAACCGCAGGCTTCCAAGTAGGGGTCGTTCCGATTGTTCGGATTCTATTCGATTCGATGTGTATGGATGCCGATACCGATTCGATTTGACTTCGGATTCCGATAGGAATCCGATGTCTCAATGAGGCTTTATTATTCTGCCGATTTCCGCCGATTCGACTTCTCCCGACTCGGCTGCCGATTTCCGCCGATCCGATTCATTTCGATTGCCGATCCGATAAATCGATTCGATTCTGGGTTCGCCTGCTTCCAAACGTTGTGTTGCCCACACCGCGTGGTAAGGCCACCGTACGGTTTTGGGATTCGGGGTCACCGTACGGTTTTGGCATGCGGGTAGTTCTCCGAGGCCGTTCTGGGCGACAAAGGCGAGAAGGGCCGCCAGGGTCCCAAGCCCTCGAGACGACGGACCGCGCGGTGAGGTCTACGGTCGATTAGCGTCCTGTCCATTGGCGGTGACCTCGCCGCCGGCGTTCAACGTCAGCCCCCATCGGTCGATGGTGAACGATCTGACGTTTCGGAAACGGTCGACCGTGACAGGTGGAACGATCTCCGAGGTGTCGGGAAGCAGCGCCGGGGCCGACACACGGCACGAGCCCGCTGTAAGAGTGTTGGGGTCCCGGGCCCCGTGGCCCAGAGAGGCCCCGGGCCCGGGGGTCTCCAGTCTTGGAGGCCGGGAATTCGCACGTCCCCGTGTAGCGATGTTAGGTCGGGCCTGTCTCTCTACAGGGGGAGGACTCAAAAGAGGCAAAACCCAGTCTGGGGACGATGTTTTTCGACCATGCTGCAGCCGTTTTGGAATCTGTTCGGACGATGTGTGCACCTTCGCAACGAATCCGCGTGCAGGAGGGCACGCCCGACCTGACCCTGGGTGGTCATGAGCCTGTTTTTCTTTAGATCCAGGCAAGCTTACTTGCATGGCGTTCGCCCCCCCCCCCCCTCTCCCCTCTCGCCCCTCTTCAATCGAACACGAGCGTGCAAGTGCCTTTAGACTTGCGTGATTTCCGCACGTCGAATCGTTTTCGGCTTGCTTCAGACTCAGCCCCCCCCCCGTGCATGCAAGTATACTTGCCCGAATCCAAAGAAAAACAAGCACCATGTTGGCTGTGATCGACCTCCCGGCCTCGGGCCTCCCGGAACTCTTCGGGCTGGGAGGAGTCGTCGGGTTCCACGTGGCGCGAGCCCGCGGCAAGCCTCGGGACTCTCCGACGATTCGCTGCGCGGTCTGTCGCCGCTTGGTGCCGAGACTTCTCCGCAGACGGGGCTCACTCCGAGTCCTCCGTGTCGACTCGATTCGATTCGCGCGGTTCCCGCCTCCGATTCGATTCGGCTTTCCCCCTGGGCGATGCTTAAGAACACTTAAAAATGTTCGGCCAGAGTCTCGATGATTCTTAATGTTTCGATGTAAATCCTAAGATTTGAATCGAAATTCTGGGTTTTTACTCAAGTTCTGAGACTATGAATTTCTTAACCCATGATTTCTTAAGCATTTCGCAGGGTGTACAGGGTTCACTCCGATTCCTCCGTTTCGATTCGATTCGATTTGTGTGGTTCCCGCTTCCGATTCGATTCGGCTTAGGATTCCGAGATTTGGACTCGGGTTCCTCATTCGAGGCTTCTTAGCCTGCCGATTTCCGCTGATTCGATGCATCCCGACTTGGCTGTCGAATGCCACCGATCCGATTGAGTTCGATCGCCGATTCGACTTGTCGATTCGATTATGGGCCCTCCTGCCAGAAGAGCACCGCCCTTCGGCCTTCGAGGATCCAGGGGACGATTTCGGCAGGGAGGGGGGGGGGTGTCGGAGATCCAGGTTCGAGTCGGGCATGTGCCTCTAAAGGAGGAGTGCTCAAGAGCAGTAAAGCACAGGCTTGGGACGAGTCTTCGAGCTGTTTGGATCATGTTTGGAAGATGGTTAGACTGTGCCCGACCTAGATCGAGGTCTCCTAGATGGGGTCCGAGTAGATGGGGTCGGAGGATCGCACCACATCGCCGATGCATCGCCGATGCGGCTCGATGTGGAGCCCCACTTTCTCCGCGCCAGCGTCGCCGATGCACCGTCGACGTCGACGACGCACCGCCGATGCATCTTCGATGCATCGGCGATGCGGCGTGATCCTCTGGCCCCATCTACTCGGACCCCATCTAAGAGGCCTCTAGGATTATGATGTTCCAACCTACTTGAGCCTTGATCACCAGAAATAATTTCGAGCACCAAGAAGGTACCGAAACTGAGGGGGGGGGCTCACGTGTCGAGCCCTGGGAGACGATACTCCTTCGACACCGCTTCGTTTCGACACTTTCCTGGGTGCTTGAAATCATGTCTGGGACGTGGTCCTCAAGTACGACGGGAATGACAGAACGCTAGGAGGAAGGAATCTCCCACAGGAGTCCAACAATAATGTGGGGGGACGAATGTTTAACTATATTTAGCTACTTCTAAGTAGTTTGGGATTATGTTTGTTTGTTCCTCCAAGATCCACCTGTAGGATCATGTTGCTCCCATCGTACTTAAGGACCACATCACAGAAATAATTTCGAGCACCCGGAAAAGTGTCGAAAGAATGTCGAAACAGTGTCGAAATAATGTCTCCCAGGGCCCGACACGTGAGAACCCTAGATTTTTGGGGTTCTTTCTTGGTGCTCGAAATTCTTTCTGGTGATCAAGGCTAACGTAGGTTGGAACATCATAACTGTAGGAGGACATGCCCGACCTGAATCGAGGAGGCCTCCCGGGAGGCAAGGGAGCGGGGCCGCAGCGGCCCGAGCGGGCTGCGGACGAGGGGGGGGGCCCGCGGCGCGCGGGCCGTTTCGCCTTGCAGGCCCCGGACGAGGCCCTCGTGCAGCTGCACGGCGTGGTCAAGTCGTTCAACCCTGCGAAGGCGGGGCGGGGCCGTCCTCCTCTCAGAGGCCCGGCGACGGCTAGCAAATCCGTGGCTGCTAAAACGGAGCTCCGGGAACTTGTGTCCTTCCTTCGGGAAGCAGCCCGTTTACTAGTTAGTGCGGTGAGCTTGATTCCGGGAATTTGCTTCTTCCTTCCGGGAAGACCGTTTTAGCAGCCACGGATTTGCCAGCTCTCGCCCAGCTTCCCATCCTCGCAGGGCTCGCCTCGATGGTCGAAGAAGGGACAAACGCTAGAAACTTAAGATTTCTGGCGCTCCGCGCGGAGTTCCTTGGATCCGCGTGGGCCTCGCCGGCTTCCGATCTCAGTTCGGCTTTGCTGGCTTCCGATCTCGATTCGCTTCGACGTGGGGTTCCGTTGCGTGTGTTTTGATTTGACGCTGGAGGCATGCTAACCTGCCGGTTTCCGGCGATTCGACTTTTCCCGATTTGGGTGCCGATCTCTGCCGAGCCGATTCATTTCGATCTCCGGTCCGACTAATCGATTCGATGTTGGGCTCTCTGGCCTCGTCCTCTCGTAGGCTTGTGGGGGAGATTTCTTGTGTATGTTCAGCGGGTCCTGGACTTCCTGGGAAAGGGGCGCCACAAGGCCGCGGCGCAGTGGCCATGGACAAACAATTGGCCTCTAGGGGGGCCAGGCATTTATTCAGATCGAGTGCGCCTTTGGCTTCTGGCGAGGGGAGCCCAGAATTTCAAGACGCAGTCGATGTGGGTATACGTTTTGCCCGCAATATCGAACACGACAAAGGGGACAAACATAAACTTCCGATGGTCCGCGCGGAATTCTTGGATCTGCGCTGGTTCCGCTGCGGTGACTCCAGCGCTGCCCCTGGCGCGGTCCGCGTGCCAGGGAGGTGGGGGCAGCGCCGATCCAAGAAATCTGCGCGGACAGTCGGAAGTTTGTGATGCAGTTGTTTCAGACGTCCCCTTCCAGCCTGAATATCCGACATCGATGCATCATGATTCACCGATGCAGCAACGGGCTACGCCCCATCAGTGTGCTCATACCTTTTCGGCTTGCAGCCCCAAAAGCAAAGGGGCGTCTTTGGTTGGTCGGGAGGTGGTGAGGCTTCGGATGGCGCGCACACAGCCCCCCCCCCAGGTTTGTCCCGCCTAGCCTCAACAGGCTCCGAATACAGTGGAAACCCATGCCAAGAAACACCCTGCTTGCCTCCATAGTGCCCTGGGTTCCTTGGGTTTCGATGGTTTTGTTCCTCATCCTCGGCGTCGTCCTCCCCCGCCCCTCTTCCTCTTCCTCGTCCTCCTCATCTCATGTTTTCCCCCCTGCTTCGCGGTGGTTTGCCCTCGTTACCCTCCGCTCCGTCGCTTCGACGTCGCCCTGGTGCTCGTCCTCCTCGGCCCCGTCATGTCCCCCCTCCCCCCTCCTTCCTCGCGCTCCCCCTCCCTTCCCCCCGCCCCATCGCCGCTCGGCCCTTTCCGAGTCTTCCGGCATTTTTCTTTTGCGTTGTTCGTCGCACTTGCCCCATCCACCAGTCGCCCCATTTGCTCGCCTCTCCGTTCCGCGTCCATGCGCGCCCTTCTCTCTCCTGGCTCATCCGTTGCCTTCCTTCCGCCCTCTGTTTTATCCCTCCGCACCGCTCCCTGCTCTGGTTAACCCTTTTTGCTTTTCCCTCCCTCTCCCCGCGCGTCTCCGGCAAGCCCGCCATTCTAGCGCCCGTCGCTCTCTCTTCCTGAAATGTCAGCCTGTTGGGGCGCCAGGGCGCTGGGACCTCAAATCGGGGTTGTCGTGTCTTCGCGCGCGCCGGGCGCGTCTTGTCGCCGTCGCCCTCCCCCCCCCCTCCCCACCTGCGCCGCGCCCGCGCGGGGAGGTGGGGGGGGGGCCCCTGGCGCGCCTGGGGGCTCTGTCATGCGCCCCCGCGCGCGCGCGGAGCGCCTCGACGGCATCGCCGCCCTTTCTCTTTTTAAGGGGCGTGCGTCGCGCGACCTCGTCGCGCCGGTGGCGCGCGGCGCGGCGCCCCCGCAAGCCGCGGCGCCCGCGCGGTTGTGGCGCGCGCAAGCGGACTGTTTCGAGCTGGTCGTCATCGTCGGCGTCGCCCCCGTCGTCTTTGCCGTCGTTGCCGTTTGCGCTTCCGCGCCCGCGGCATGGGGGATGTTCGTTCCTGGAGCTTCGCCGCGCAGTGCCGCGTTCGACTCGCATCCTTCAGATTTTTAAAGAAATCTGCACTCGCGCGCAGGTTTTGGGAGCCAGTCCAGACCGAAGATTTTGGCACTTTTCTTATGGATCTGGATGGTTCTGAGAATGCTCAAACAACTGACCCAGGGGAGAAATGGATCGAGTGATGCAATAGGCGGCGCGCGCTTCCTCGCTTCGCAAATATGGAGGGGAAGAAGATCAGCCGCAGAGTACGGAGCGGCGCGCGACGCGGCCCGCGACGGCAATGGGATCGACGAGGCTCTCAAGAATGTGGCGGGCATCGCGCTCCGGATCAGCTATCTACACTGCTGGCGAGGTGATGGAGACATTGAATTCCCCCCTGAGTTCCCCCCATCAGATTGGTCGCTGGTTGATCCGGGACCGCCCCCGCGCACGTGGGCGCGGGAAGCTGCCAGGCTAAAAATCTTTGTCTGATGAGCAGGTTGGATATGAGACTGTCGGGATTTCGGATGGCCTGAGAAGGGCCCAGCCTTGGCTGCTGCCAAGCTGTATTCTCCTGAGGCCAACCCGAAGGCTCTCGTACAGATGATATTGGATGCATGGGAGAAACCCGGCTTCAATGCGGTATGCTCGCAGTGGCATTCTGCGGAAAATGGACGGATCGTGCGAAATATTAGCATGAGCGCGGTCGTCGACGCCGCCGAGAGTGCACGACAAATATTGAGCGCACCTCAGGGGATGGTGATGATGCAAAGGGCTCGTGCCACAAGCACTGAGGTTTGCAAAAAAACGAAGGATTGCACAACAACCCGAAGGATTGCAAAACAAAAACCCAAGGATTTCAAAACAAACCGAAGGATGACAAAAAAAACGAAGGATTGCAATCCTTCGTTTTTTTACCTAACAGCGAAGACTGATAGGTTTCTAGTGGTCTCAAAAGAGCTCACAGATCACTCCACAGGGGGGTCCGGGCAGGTGTTGGGAGTTGCCGGGCGGGCCTGTGCCGAGCTCGTTTTTCACCAACAGTCACACACTTCGTGCTCTTCGAGTTCCCAGAACTCCATTCCCAGGCTCATTCTGAATAACCGGATGCAACAGTCACACACTTTGTTTCGAGATTCCAGACGCCATTCCCGGGCCACTCGTACTTCGATCCCAGAACTCCAACATCAACACACTTCGTGCTCTTCGAGTTCCCAGAACTCCATTCCCGGGCCACATTTTTGCCCGGAGGGCCACTTCGTGCTCTTTCCCAGAACTCCATTCACATTCCAACTGTAGGCCACTTCGTGGAACTCCATTCCCGGGCCACTCGGAGATGCAACAGTCACAGGATTCCCAGAACTCACATTCCCGGGCACACATTTTTTGCCCGGAGCCACGGGCACTTCTGTAGTTTCCCCTCCATTCCCGGGCCACATTTTGAATGCCCGGAGCCAACTGTAGGCCACTTCGTGCTCTTCGAGTTCCCAGAACTCCATTCCCGGGCCACATTTTGAATGCCCGGAGCCAACTGTAGGCCACTTCGTGCTCTTCGAGTTCCCAGAACTCCATTCCCGGGCCACATTTTGAATGCCCGTAGCCAACTGTAGGCAACTTCGTGCTCTTCGACTTCCCAGAACTCCCATTCCTGGGCCACATTTTCAGCAGGGGCAAGAGCACGACGAGGAGGAGGACGAGCAAGACCAGGAGGACGAGGACGAGCAGGAGCAGGACGAGGAGCAGGAGGAGCAGGAGAAGAAGGACGAGCAGGAGGAGGAGGAGGACGAGCAGGAGGAGGAGGACGACCAGGAGGAGGAGGACGACCAGGAAGAGGAGGAGGAGGAGGAGGGGAGGGGGAGGAGTACCAGGAGGAGGAGGAGGAGGAGGAGGAGGAGGAGGAGGAGGAGGAGGAGGAGGAGGGAAGAGGAGGAGGAGGAGGAGGAGGACGAGGGAGGAGGAGGAGGAGGGGGGGGGAGAGTACCAGGAGGAGGAGAACGAGACCACCAGGAGGAGGAGGAGGAGGAGGAGGAGGAGAGAACACCAGGAGGAGGAGGACGAGCAAGACGAGGAGGACGAGAACGAGGACGACCAGGAGAGGAGGAGGAGGAGGAGGAGGGGAGGGGGAGGACTACCAGGAGGAGGAGGAGGAGGAGGAGGAGGAAGAGGAGGAGGAGGACGAGGAGGAGGAGGAGGAGGACGAGGAGGAGGAGGGGGGGGGAGAGCACCAGGAGGAGGAGAACGAGGACCACCAGGAGGAGGAGGAGGAGGAGGAGGAGGAGGAGGAGAGAGCACCAGGAGGAGGAGGACGAGCAAGACGAGGAGGACGAGAACGAGGACGAGCAGGAGGAAGAGGAGGAGGAGGAGGAGGAGGAGGAGGAGCAGGAGAAAGAGGAGGAGGAGGAGGCAGGCTGAGGCTGAGGCTGTGACTGCGACTGCCGTTGCCGTTGCGACTGTCATCGCGAATGCGACTACGACTGCGAGAACAGCAGAATTCGACAACTGGATTTTCATCTGAATCTTAAGGGGAATGCTTTCAGATATGCTTCTACACATCGCTGTTAGGTTGCTTTGCCGGGATAATTTGCAATCCTTCGTGTTTTTGTGCACAGACTTCTCTATGAGGAGATTTGGCGGAGCAGGCCCGCCGTGGGGGCGGCAGCTACCCTGGGCCCTGCAGCGCCGAGCTAGCCGCGCGGTGAGAAGAAATGCTTTCGTGCTTGTTCGGGGGCGGCAAAGAGGGGGGTGATGACTAGGGGGGAGGGGGGGTGGATATCATGGCGGGGGCCATGATATTTCCCCAGATTTCATGGCGCCTCTTCTTATTCCATTACGTCCCTGGGGCCCCCGGTGGGCCGCGCACATGCCGCCGGCCATGATTTGCACCCCCCCCTCTTTGACGCCCCCCTCTTTGCCGCTCCCGACTTGTCTTAGGCCCCCCCTCGGAACAGATTGGACAATCGAAAAGGGGTGAGATGTCACGAGACGCCCGCGCCAACACGAATGCTGCAATCCGAATGCTTGCGCAGGGGCGATGTGGAGGAGGCTGTCAAATCAGCTTCGCACTCGGCCCCTGGTCCCGACGGGGTGCCTTTTCTGGCTTTGAAGCGCATGGGCTGTCTCGCAGTGGACACGCTGTTCAAGGCTGCCTCTGACATGTCGGCCGAAGGAGGGCCTGACCGGCTCGCCCGCTTCTACAAGGACGCCGCTTTCCCAGGGCAGTCGTTCAACTCCAGCCTCATGGTGTTTCTGCCCAAGAGCCCGAGCGGACAGCTCGCACGTTGCAACTTCCCATGAGCCTTGGTCATCTCGCTCCCATGGTACTCGTACGTTGCAACTTCGCAGCCGCCTCCGCAGCTGGCAGCTTCCACCCCTCGTCGCAGCCATGCCCTGGCGCAGCTCCCCTCGGGCGTAGGATATTCTGCTTGCTCGGCGCGCGCGCCGGCAATTATGGTGCTCGCGGCCCGTGCTACTCTTCTGACTCTGTTGGCGCGCACGGCTGCAACTGCGGCAAAAAAACACCCCCACCAGCCCATCCAGAAACGATCAGCAGGGGAGTCGGTGAATCAGGGGCGGCAGGACGCATGCAGCTGCGCAGCCGTCTTCGGGAAAGCAAGGATCACAAAGAGCTCCCCGCATTGACGTTTAAGATGGAAATCGGCGCAAGCTACGATGGTGCTTCGATGAGGGGTGAGGTGTGGTTCGATGACTCGTAATGGTTGCTGCACTGAATTGTATTTTAAACTCGCGTGCGGTTCGAAACTTGGAACCATATTGGGGCTCCCTGGGGTCCTCTTGGGGCCCTCATGGGGCCCTCCTGGAGCTCTTTCTTGGGGCTCTCTTGAGGTTCCCCCAGGGTTTTTTTGGAGCCCTGTTGAGGTTCTTTCGGAGCGTCACGGGGCCCTCCTGAGGCTCTTTTGGGAGGTCAGGGGGCCTTTGTGGGGCTCTTATGGGATGCCTGAGGGGCCTCGTGGGGGCCGTCTTGGATTTTGTCGCTAAACCAGACGGGGGCCCTTAATTCCTGTCCCCCCCTTCGGAGACTCAAAAGTTCGTTTTGGGGCTTCCTTGGCCCCCTTTTGGAGCGCTCTTGGGGCCGTTTTGGGGCCCTCTTGGGGCTGTTTTGGGCCATATATGGGCCGTCCTGAGGCCTCAAGGGCCCAACGGAGGCGAAACCACGAGCAGGGACGCAACATTACTTTCCCTCAGGTGTTTGAAGGATTTGGGCCTCTTGGGGGGCTCCTTAGAGGCCTCGGAGGGCACTTCTAATCGTCTCGGGGCCGTATTGAGGCCTCTTGGACGTGTGTCGGAGGCTATCTTGACCCATCTACCGCTAGATTGGGCCATCTCCGACGTAATCTTGGAGTCGTTGGGGCCCTTTTGGAGCCATCTTGGGCCATTTTAGACGCCGCTATAGGTCGCCCCCCCCCCCGTCCAAACCCACGGAAGGGGGGGCAGGTAAATCTCCCGAGCGGGGAAAGGCAGGAGGTTGGAACAAGGAAACGCTCTAGACCACGTGCGCCCAGAGGTCTGGTGGGATTCAATGAGTTTGGAGAGGAGCACGATGATCTTGCTCCACCATCATCGTCGGGTCGTGCCGATTGTTTGACGAAGTACCGAATCGGCATGCCCCGTCGCTAGGTCTGGCTGCGCTGGCGTTCTGTGTCGGGGGGCAGAGCCGTGGACTTGCCATCCTTGTTGGGGTGTGCCCGACCCTTCGGTCTCGTTTCGGTTTTTTCTCTGGGCCTCGTTGTGTCGTCGTCTTCCTTTCTCCGTCAATATGAAGAAAAGGGGGTCCGCGAAAAAGAGAGGCGGTGTCTCTCACAGCTTTCGGATTTCCGTGGACCCCCGTGTCAAGGCGGAACAGATGACGCGTGACAAGTCTTGGAGTCGAGGAGCTCTACCACGAACGCGTTTCGGTCATACCGAATCACCCTTTTGCCCATCATATCACGCCTGGCAAGAACAAGGGTGCGGACAACGAGGACCTCCCGTTGGCGTCAGTTCCCATGGGGTGTCCTTCAGAGAGCACTTTCGATCTCTTGCGCCTCTGTCCGTGTTTCGTGTTTCCTTTTCGTTGTGTTGTGCATGTTTTGTTAATGTGTTTGTTTGTGTTGTGCCGTTTCTTCCTCATGTGTTATGTGCCTTCCTTCGCCTCTTGTCCGTCCCGTTCTCCCGAAATCCCACCCTCATCCTCACGCACCCCGTGCTCATCCTGCGAGGGTGTGGCAAACCGGTTGCCTTGAGTTTGCGTCGATTTGTTGTGTGAGCGGATTGGCGCGAATGGTTTGGCAGCGATAGGCTGTCGATAAGTGCACTTTGTGGGCCCCGGAAACGGCAGGGCCGTTTTTTCACCGTTTCCAGGAAAATGTCCTTTTGAAAATGGAAACGGCAAAGAAACGGCGACCAGAAACGGCAAACAAAAAGCTCCAGGATTGGAACCGGAGCCGGAGCCGGTCAAAAAACGGCGACGGAACCGGTAAAAAAACGGCGTCGGAACCGGCAAAACGGCAAAACGGAACCGGTAAAAAAAACGGCCTTGTCGTTTCCAGGGCCCCTTATAAGGTGTTGCATGTCTCGGCGCAGTTGCCTTTGGCACGACAGTCCGCGTCGTGCTCCGCACGCCCCACCGTTTCAGACGTCTGGAGGTATGGGCCGGCGGGAACAGGGCGAGGAGCAGACCGGGAGCAGGGCCGAGGGGGCCGGGGGAGACTGCTGACCAGCCCGCTGAGCTCTGACCCCCCGGCTGAAAGTCGTTCCATCCAGACAAGTTCGTCCGAGACGAGTTATCTGGACGAGTCCCTCCAGACAAGTTTTTCCGGACGAGCTCATCCGAGGGCGAGTTGTTCCGAAGACGAGTTCACCCAGAGACGAGATCTTCCGCAGATAATTTCACCCGGACAAGTTCATCTGGACAATTTCATTTCGACGGGTTTGTCCAGAAGAACGTTTTTCGGAACGAATTTGTCGCGGAAGCAAAATCGTTGAGGATGAATTGGTGGTCCTCCAGCCTGTTACATCTCCGCTCCGCCTGCGCTTCCAGACATGCCTTGCGTCGTGACAGAGTCGCGGCGGTCTGTTTTGGGAGTAGTTTTTGGCATCCTGGGGCCCTCGCGCTGGGCCCCGGGGCCGTCGGACAACGACGGGATGAGGAACGAGTCCCGGGAAGGAAGGGGTCAGGACTTCCGGCGACCCCGTATTGACCAAAGGAGGACATCGCATGCTCGGGTTACCTAGGAGCCTGGAGCAGGGCAGGCGGCCGATCACCAGGACGTGCCAGGCGATTGGCCCCCTGGCGCCAGCGCTGCCCCCTCTCCCCGGCCGCCTCTGGCGAGCGTCGGCGGTGGGCGGCGTGGCGGCGAAGGGCGGCCACAGGATACTCTGAAATCGGGCACAGGATACTCTGAAATCGGGCGCGTCCCTCTACAGGAGGAGTATTCCGAAATAGTACAAACAATAATGCGGACACTTTTTTAGATTTTTGTTTGGGCCTTTGATGACTGTTTTTTTGTTTAAAGACATGTTCGTCCAACCTCCGCCTGTGGGAGGACATGGCCGACCTGGGGACCCTCGTGGGCGGCCAGGAGGTGGACCCAGCAGGGCCCCGCGGGGTGCGCGGACCGTGGGGCCTTGCCGCCCGTGCCAGCTCGCCAGCCAATCAGCAGGGCCCCGGGGGCGGCACGGAAGGCAACCGACGCTCTGCTCGGGCGGTGCCCGCGGCCGCCTCGCCGCGACGTCGCAAGAGGCAGGAGGGCGACGAAGAGACCCGGCCACGCGCAGAGAGGGGGGTGGGGAGAGGGGGGGGAAGGCGTCTTAGAAGCACCCCTGCTTCTTAGAAGGCGCTGGCCTCATCTGTCAGAAGTATGGGGCTTCTAAGAAGCCCTCCCCCCTCCCCCATACCGGCTTTTGCGCGCCGCCAGACCCTCGACGTCGTGCTCTTTTCGGGGAGACGTGAGACTCGAGTACTGGGTCTGCCGACGTCTTTCGATGAGCGCGTCCTGGATGTTGAGGGTCCGATTGCCGTGGGATGTCTGCAGCGGGAGCTCGCGTCAAGTTTCAGACTGGGCCTCGTCATTTTCGTGATGCCCCGTCAGGCCAACCCGAGTCCCCCGTACACGAGGAGGAGGAGGAGGAGGAGAAGGAGGAGGAGGAGGAGGAGGAGGACGAGGACGAGGACGAGGACGAGGAGGAGGAGGAGGACGAGGAGGAGGAGGAGGAGGAGGAGGACGAGGAGGACGAGGAGGACGAGGAGGAGGTCGAGTCGTACGTCTCCCCGATCTTTTCACGGCGTGGAGCCCCCGAGGTCTCGACTTGCTCCTGGGGACCGGTCTTTCACCCCGCGCCGTGGCCTGCCGGCCCCGCCGTGGGCCCAGCCGAGGGCCCGCCGTGGGGCCGAAGCTGGCCGTCCACAGTTCCCGCCGTGGTGCTTGCACGACGCGAGGGGGCCTCGGGAGGAGGGGGAGGAGGAGGAGGAGGAGGAGGAGGAGGAGGAGGAGGAGGAGGAGGAGGAGAAGGGCGAGGAGGAGCAGGAGGAGGAGGGCCCCAGATCCCGCCAGAGCCCCCGCCTGGCCCGATCCGAGAGCCGCTTTGGAGCCTCGCCGTCCCCGCGCCCCCCGCACCCGTCCGCAGGGTTACGGCTTCATCAGCAGCGACGAGGTGGTCCCCCCGCGCGCCGCGGCGGAGCGGCGGGAGTGCCTCGCGGCGGAGTCCGAGACCTGCCCTCGCCGAGTGGCGATGCGGGCAGCTCGACGAGCCGCTTGGGCTCGCGGGCCAATGCTCCACCACCGCTACCGTAGACCTCCTCATCCTCCTCCTCCTCTCCCTTCTCCTCCTCCTCCTCCTCCTCCTCCTCCTCCTCCTCCTCCTCCTCCTCCTCCTCCTCCTGCCACCTCCCTTCTCCCAGGTCCTACATATGGCAGTGGTGGTGGAACATTTGCCCATCCGGGGCAGGGTTCGGACTTCGCCGAGCGCACGGCGAGAGCCGAGCCCTGCCCCCGCCTCCTGCTCAGGAGAGTAGACGGTTGGTGGGCGCAGGCTTCGGGTGTCGCCACCCAGAGTTGGTCCCCAGCGCGCTGCGGAGTATTGGAGGAAGATGCCGTGTACGGGGGTGAAGACATAGTCGTGTTTGGATGCAACCCTTGGGAGGCTAAAAGTCTTGAGCCGGCGATGGCATCCTTGTCCAAACGCTGGTCGGATTTGGCCAAGTGGTTTTTAGTCCGGTTGAGTCCCGCTCAATTTGGATTACATCCCGGGCCTCCAATCTGGCCTGATCTGGCTCAACGGCCCCTGACTGGGGTGTGCTAGCCCACAGTGATTCTGTCGCAGACATCCGAGGAGTTGCCTCCTGATCTTCAGCGAGCGAAGGACGGTATAAAATAAACTTTTTCGCTGTCGGGGGCGCCTGTCCCTGGGCGGCTGGAAAGTTTATACCCCTACGGTGCCACCGTAAGGGTATAGACTTTCCAGCCGCCCTGGGACAGGCGCCCCCGACAGCGACAAAGTTTATTTTATACCGTTCTTCGCCCGTTAAATCTGGGCGGACGACTACTGGGAGGGGGCAACAAACGTGGGGGGATCGAGGATTGCAGGACAGTGGCTCGGAGCGGCCCCACAAGCTGCTGCCGCGGACCCCCAAGCTTCCAGGAAGGTGCACGCTTCTTCGCCCCGCGTTCACTGCCCCCCCCCTTAAACGAACATCTGGCGCAGGGGCATTGGGGGAATTTGCGCCAACACAGCTACTCCAGGTTTCGTAATAAAAGGGAGGGGGTCTGGACCCTCCAAGACAAGCCATTTCAGACCTCCCCCGTGGGAGAACCCTCCAAAACATCGTCCCCAGACCCCCCCAGGCCCTCCAAGATAGCCTGGAAGAGACCCCCCCCCCGAAATGAGACCCCCTCCCTTTATTACGAAATCTGGAGTACCTTGTCCTCTGTGTTCACCTGGTTCTGTCTTCTTGGACGGCCCTCGTCGCCACATCTGGATTCGCCTCGAAATTCTGGTCGGAGTGCACCTGGCAGAGGTCCAGGGAGCAGCGGTATCTTGTAGCACCTTTGCAGAGTATGGCCGATTTGCTGCCGTTGGGAACCCGTCCGAGTGTCTCTTTCGTGCTTGTTGTTTTGTCCGGACACATCGTGCTTCTTCCCGACCATCTTGTGGTGTTGGGTCTTCGTTTTGAAGAGACCACGCTCCGCGTTCCTCTCCTCCCTCTCCATCTTCCCGCATTTGCCTCTGCCCTCTGCACGTCCTCGTCGTACCCGTCATCATCATCATCATCATCATCATCATCATCATCATCATCATCATCATCATCATCATCATCATCACCATCACCATCACCATCACCATCAGCAGCAGCAGCAGCATCAGCATCAGCATTAGCATCAGCATCACCATCACCATCACCATCACCATGGTCTTCATCATCACCATCATCGGCATCATCACCATCATCGCCGTCATCATCGCCACCATCGTCATCGGCTTCAGCTTCGGCACATCCCTCAAACGCTTTGTTGCCACAGAGGGAGTTCCACCGAAGGCCCCAGTGGCTGCGTTCGCATGCCGCCACCCCCCTCACTTTGGTTCCCCCTCACATGCATCGTGGCCCCATGGGGAGTCCCACCTGAGTCCTCAGTGGCTGCGATCGCATGCCGCCACCCCCCTCACTTTGCCACACCCCTCACACTTTTCGTGACCATATGGGGAGCTCGACCGAAGGCTCCAGTGGGAGGGTTCGCATGGCACCGCCGCCCCATTCCGGCACACCTCTCACGCGAATCGTGAAGGAAACAAAGAGTCCAGTGAGAAGGTTTGCATGGCACCGCTTCCACATTTCGGCATACCCATCACACGCTTCGTGGTCACAAGCGGAGCTCGACCGAAGGCTCCAGTTGGAAGGTTCGCATGGCACGGCCACCCCATTTCGGCACACCCCTCACACGTTTCGTGGCCCCATAAGGCGGCTCCACTTGAGGTCCCAGTGGGAGGGTTCGCATGGCACCGCCGCCCCATTTCGGCACACCCCTCATACGCTTTGTGGCCTCATATGGAGCTCCACCTGAGGCCCCAGTGGGAGGGTTCGCTCGGCACCGGCTTCCCATTTCGGCACACCTCTCGCACGCTTCGCGCACCCTTGGGAGCTCCGCCTGAGGTCCCAATCGGAAGGTTCGCGTGCCACCGCCGCGCCGCACCATTCACACGCTTCGTGGCCCCATGCGGAGCTCCACTGGCCCCACCGAAGGCGATACTCACAACGACGGTATTCACAATTGTATCTGGTTGGATTTCCCGCAAATTTTTCAGGAGTGACAGAGGTGGGATCCCCACGGCAGCGTGTCATTAATGTTGCTTGTCGCCCTCTAGAAGAGCCCTCTAGAAGATGACGATCGGGGGCGTCCCGTCGAAGGAGAAACAGCGGCTCACGCATACTTTGTCTGAGGTCCGCGTGGTTTTCTTTGATCGCTGCTGTCCCTCCTAGCAGCGTCTAGCCGTGGGACGCAATTAAGACCCGCCCGATCAACCCCCTTCGGTTCGAACGCTAGCGCAGCAAGCACCTAAAGCGGTCGTCTGGCACCTGGCGCCCAACTCTTTGGTACGTTACTACTACTACTACTACTACTACTACTACGACTACGACTACTACTACTACTAGCACGACTGCTACTACTACACCACTACTATTTTACTACTACTACTACTACGACTACTACTACTACTACTACTACTACTACTACTACTACTACTACTACTACTACTACTACTACTACTACTACTACGATTACTACTACTACTACTACTACTACTACTACTACTACTACTACTACTACTACCACAATGTCTACGACTACTACTATGACTACGACGACTACTACTACTACGACTACTACTACGACTACTACGATAATTATCAGCACTACTATTTTTACTAAAACTACTACTACGACTACTACTGCTACTTCTACTACTACTACTACGACTACTACTACTACTACTACTACTGCTAGTATTGCGGCTGCTACTAGTATTACAACTACTACCCCCACGACTACCACTACCACCACTAACTCTACTACTTTTCTAAAACGACGACTAGTATTGCTACTGCTACTACTTCTGCGACTACTACTACTGCTGCTGCTACTACTACTACTACCACTACTATTACAATTCGTACTACTACTACTACTACTACTACTACTACTACTACTACTACCTGTTACTAGTACTTGTTCTACTATTTCTACTACGTCTGGTGTTCGTTGGCTACTACAACACCTTGTATCGAAAACTACGACTACTACTACTACTACTACTACTACTACTACTACTACTACTACTACTGCTAGTAGTATTTATGCGGCTAGTCCGAACATTCGCAGTTCTACCACTATTTCCATTTCTACTATAATACTGCTTCAATTTCCGACTACTACTTCCGCTGCTACAAATTCTGCGACTAAAACGACTACGTTTACTACTACTATTACTACTACTACTACTACTACTACTACTACTACTATTATTTACTACTTTTTACTACTTTTACTACTACTACTTCTTTTACTACTACTACGACTAGTACTACTACTACTATTACTCTTACTACTACTACTTCTACTATTACGGCTACTACTGCTACTGATACTACAACGAGTGCGTCCACTACCACACATACTATCTGCCCTGCGACCATTACCGCAACTACGACTATCAGTACTATTATTATTACTACGACTACTACTACTACTACTACTACGACTACTACGACTACTACTACTACCACTACTATTACTATTAATGCTACTACTATTACTACTACTACGACTACTACTACTACTACTACTACTACTACTACTGCTCGCACTACTACCACGACGACAACGATTACGACTAAGACTCGTATTTGTACCACTGCTACTAATTCTGCTATCTCTATTTCGACTACTACTACTCCTTCACTGCGTTGCCGAATACATCGTGCGACTGCAACTACTACTAAGTAGGCATCTTCTCAATCAACCTCAACTACCAGGTGAATATATTTCTAGTGCAAAGTGTATCAAGTTTATGTTGCTAATTCTACCAGTGCGAGATGTATGGTGATACAGATCCTGTTGGGTAAAAACCCGAGTGGGCGAGTCCTATTGAATTGAAATGAAATGTCCATGGTTTTGTCGTATCAACTTGAAATGTCGGTTTTTTCATCTCAAAATGCCTATCGCGCGAACTATGGCAGATATTTTGCATTCCCAAATAAGGTTCGGGCAATTGTTGAGCATGTTGTTGGCTGCTATATCACCGGCGTGAGATTCGCGCGGGCCGCGGCGTCGCGGCGTCGCGGGGGCGAAGGCGGAGGGGGCGAAAACTTTACAAATCTGTCGAATTCTCACGGCTTCGCAACGTCGATGCTCGGGCGCGAAGGCGGAGGGGGCGAAAACTCTACAAATACGTCGCACTGTCGCGGCTGCGTGGCGTCGCTGCGCGGGGGCGAAGGCGGAGGGGGCGCGCCAGCTGCCTGGGGGGGGGGGCCGAAGGCGTGGGCGCGGGGGGAAGGGGCGGGCCGCGGGGGGCTGGGGCGCTCGCCCAGGAGGGCCGGTGGAGGCCCGCGGCTCAGGAGCTAGGGTTCACGGCGCAGGGTTTAGCCGCTCAAGGCTCAG